CCTTCCCAAACCTTCCCAAACCTTCCCTTCCCAAACCTTCCCAAACCTTCCCAAACCTTCCCAAACCTTCCCAAACCTTCCCTTCCCAAACCTTCCCTTCCCAAACCTTCCCCTCCCTCTCCTCTCCCACCCCTCCATCGCTGGGCCATGTCGCCATCTCGCGGCCCCGAGGGCCCGGCCCCGCTTTGGGGGTTGCCAAACATCGGGAAATCTCGATCCTGTTCCCTCGGGCTGCCTCTGCTCAGGAGCCGCCTTCCCCTTCCCCCTCCTCACACTCCTCCCCGACCGTGACCAGCCTGCTTGAAAAATAAGTCCGAATGCCCGCTCCCACCGCTGCTGCTCTAGGGAATCTGAGCGATGGCACTGCTGCCTTGTCTGTAGAACTGGGCTTTTTTATTATTATTATTATTATTTCTCAAAGTTTAGAATTTTTTCTGATTGTGGTTAAGGTGGTTGGGGGATAAATCCTGCCCTGTACACTTCAGCTGCTCTGGCGGCTGTGGCCAGGGGTAAAGCAGTAAAGCACAACCCCTTCTGTGCCCAGTTAGAGTCTAACTTAGTCCTCTGCTGGTTCATGCAAGCAAATGATCAGGCTGGGACTGATCCCTTACTCCAAGCCCTCCTGTGGAAGAAAGTAGGAAGGAACCTGTGATGAAAATCCCAAGACGCAAGAGATGAATGATCCAGGTTCAAAATGCTGTTGTTGAGCAGAATCAGACCTCAGCTGGATACACGACTGAAAGCTTTTGGTGAAACTTGGTTAGCTTTCAGATTCTGCCTCTTGGGCTCTTCGCTGTTCAAAACTGCTTAAATTAGAAAGAGTAGGAGTAAACATGTAGGATTTAAGTAGAATCTCTGCTGGAAACCACCTCATGTTTTATTAATAAATTGCCCCGTGAAACTGAGTGAATAATAGATGAATGTAGCTCTGGTGGGACACAAGACGTGGTAGTGGACTGTGTGTACAAGGTGATGGGCAGATTGCAGGCATCTGTGATAAATAGTCGTGAGTGGGGCAAAGCCACCTGGATACCTTGGAGTAATGACTCTCTTACAGGCATGAGAACAGCTGTTGTAGCAAAGCAACCTGGACCTGACTGAACTGAAACCAAAAAGCCCCTTGATGTGAAGTAGAGCCTGCTATCACATCCTTCTCGTGAAGAGTGTTTCCATGAGAGTAGCTCCAGCAAGAGCTCCTCCTCAGCCCAGACAAATCCCATACAATTCTTGGATTACATCACTCCTATCAAACAGTTCTCATGGTTTTGTTCCACCTTGGATCAAAGCAAAGTCAGATACTGTGAGAACACATTTTATAGGCTGGGAATATTTATTATCAGCTTTCAGAGTGGAATTTCGTTGTACTCATGTGGGGTTTTTCATGTACTTCCCTCATCCGTGCAAATGAATCACAGCATGTGTGTAATATACAGGCGGGCATCAGTTTTTTATGATGATTTAAACTGCGGTCTACTTACTCAATCATGAATTGGAAACAGGTGGCCTTAGTACGTAGGACCTTTCTACTCATGAAATGTTAAAACTGTAGTGGCAGCTGCCAGGACCTTCCACTCCAAATTTCCGTGTGCCTTCAAAAGGGATTGGGGTAAATGAGCAAACAGTCCTGCAGCAAACTTTGCAGTACAGAAACTTGTGATCCTACTTAATCATCTGCAGGGTGTTTTGTGAATGTAACTCATCCCCTGAGATCCAAACTCCTCTAGGCAAATGGGAGGTTTGCTCAATAGCAATGCTCAGGAGAAGGAATGGACCTATTTGTAAATTTTTAACTAGTTATGTGAAAATGAAGATTAAATGGAGGAAGGACATTGGGAAGAATATTTAAAACTACTGGTATAGATGAAATTCTGAAATGCATTTCAAAATGGTTCCTGTTCAAACTTTGGCCTACATTTACTGAAATATGAATAGAAGCCACATAATGGTAAAATAAGAGTGTTATTGTCCTCAAATGAGAAAAATTTCCAGTCAAATTAATCCAGATGTTTAGGATTTGCCCAAAAGGAAATTGAAGCTGAGGAAAGAATGGAGAGAAGCTTGTTTTGCAGAAACCATTTCTTACTGAGAATTTCTTTGTGTCCTACATTTCATTTTGCCACAGCACAGGGAAATGTACCATTTTCTAGGCACAAAGCACCACTGGGTTCTGCTGCATCTCCTGCCCTATCCAGCTGCATCCCATGAAGGCTGAATGGGAGTTTCCTGGGCGGGTGTGTCGGGAGGGACAGAGGCAGAGGCATTGACACTGGTGGCTTTACGCAAGTGAGGAGCGCTGTGCAGCCTAATAAGGAATGTAACTTTTTTTTCGTGATGCACATTAATCTGCTCTGTTTTCCCTACCAAAAAAAAAAAATAAAAAAATCTCCCTCCTGCAACTCTTGCCAGACAGCCTGGCTTCTTCTCCTCCTTTAAGAGTTCATTCACAGTTGCAGGCGCAGTCACAGCTAACAGGCAGCTGCTCTGTCAGGAGTACACAAGGCTCTGCATTTTGGGTCCCTGTGACATCCCTGGAAGGGTCATCCTGACACCACCCCTGCCGGAGACGTGATCGTGGTACAGTCCAGAGAATTCCAGGTTAAGGCTTTGGGGGAATCAGTGTTTGCAGGAGCCAGTCTGGAGTTTGATGTGCCCCGAGCAAGGTCTGACCTCCCCCAGGTGAGTGCCAGGGGCAACCTGAAAACTGCAGTTCACCGGATTTGCACATTTATCACCAGGATGAAAACTCTCTGTGTCTCCAGGAATGGGTGTTTCAGCCAGCACAGTGAGAAAATGATTTTCATGACTTTTAAATTTTGTTCAATGTACATTTCTTTCAGAAAGTCACGTCTCAACTCTATACTAACTCTGAGCCAAGCTTTATTACAGGATTTATTGCCAAAGCATGGGTGCTCTCCTTTGTTCTGGGATAACCAGGTTCACACTAGTCTTCTCTCTACAGGCATCATTAACAGTTATTCCAAATAAAGGGGCCAGACTGATAAAATGTTATTTGATCTCTGCTCTTATAATTCCATTTGCCATACTGTCTCTGATCTTCCAAAATACTGTCAGTTCTTGCTGTGGATACTTTCATTGTGAAATTGAAATGGCAATTGTACTTTTTTTGGTTGTTTTGTTTCTTGTGAAGGAGAGATTTTTATACTGTGTCTAAAATAACTGGTAAGTGGATATATAAAATAATGGAGTGGTCTGATAAGCAGTTAACCATTAATTTTCAATCTTTTTTTTTTTTTAAACTGACTTTTATGAAAAGGCAGAGTGGAAAGATACTGGAATTCTAAAGAAAGTTCTTTCCTGCGGTTCCAACATAAAAGCTTAGCTTGAACGAATCAAGTGACAATGCTCTTGGCATTTTCTTCAGAGCTTGTTATATATAACTTAACTGGATTAATGGTAATTGTAACAATTGGCATCTACCATACTAAATTACTTTTCTTAAAAAAAAAAAAAAAAAATCAAGCTAGAATTGCACCTCCCTGTAGCTGGTTGAAAAAGTGTCTGATATCTGAGGCTCTAGTGGAAGCCACTGCAGGTAGGTTTTTTTGAAGCACGCAGTCACCTCTGTACTTTGAAAAATCCTGCCTGCCGTAAAAATGTGTCCCGTAGCCACTTTGTGTCTTCACCAAAGGGAAGGTTTTTATCAGTTTAGCTGAAGGATCAAGCTGTGTTAAGCTTGGATCCTGTGCAATACATACAAGGATTCTCTCCTTTCACCAGAGAGAGAAAATCCAACATAAAATGAACAAGTGGCAATTGCTGTCCTGAAACAGAAACAACCACCCTGAGTTCTTTCCTCTGAGGCCTGTTGGAAAAGGGGCACATGCTCATGGTGCTGGTGCACAGTTGTTCAGAAAAGCATTTAAATCTTGCTTGCCAGCTGCAGGTAGCTGTGCTGGTGTTGGTCTGTAGTGCCACGTGTTCCTCCTGTGCCATCACCCTGCTGCTCCTGGAGTCAGAGACCCTCACAGTCCGGATGTGCAGAGGGTTTTGAACTTCCGAATGCTGGCCAAGACCTAGCAAGGGACTTAAACATCTGCACTGGTGACTGAGACAAAACACTGGGTCCTTAAGGATGAGATAGAGTGTAAAAAAATTATCTCAAGCTACTGCTTAATGTCTGAACTGTGAAGGGCATCATGTGCCTATATAGTTTGTGGGCTTTGTGTGCCCTTAACTTAGTACACGATCAGCAGAACAGAGCTGGTGGCTGCCAAACAAGTTTGTGCCCTCTGGCTGAGCCCCTTGGGGTCTTGGTGCAAGAGACCTTCCAGCAGTTTACTTGTCATGTGTGGACAGGACCAGGAGCCACCCAAAACACAGTTGTAAAAACCTAGTTTGGCTGAAGGTAGTGGGGCAGCAGGTGCTGCTTTTTGAGAGCAGAAGCCTCTGTCTGGGAGCACTGGCCAAGCAATAACTATGTGTTTGGTGTGGGCAGAGACCTGTGGGGCTCCCCACTGGGGACCAACATGGGCAGGGGTTCATGGCAGAGGAAGATGAGCCTGGTCCTTGTGGCATTTAGTTGAATTGAAGGCAAGGAGGGGAGAGAGGGAGTCAAGCCAATGTTTACCCTCTCTGAGTGTGTTCTGCCAGGACTTGGAGTAGTTTTGACTCAGCAGTGTACCACTGAGCAATCACATGTGTGCTGATTTTGCTCAGTTCTCAAGCTGAAAAGATCCCACACCCCCCTGGCCATCAGCCCTACAAATTTGGACTGCTTCTGCTCATGCCAGATGGAGTTGTTTGCCCTTGGGCATAATCACCTGCAAGGGGAGCTTTTCTCAGCTGCTGTTTGCCCCACCTGTCGTGCCCAGCACCCTCAGCTCCTGCCCCTGAAGGCTGGAAAAGCTGTGGGATGAGGGGCTGCACCTCACACCCCAAAGGGCTGCAGAGAATCAGCCACAACTCCTGTACTCCCATCCTGAAGGGTCAGAATGGGTTTACATTTTATCTCACCAGGAATTGGTGAGATAGAGAGGTTGGGAGAGAGAACAAACTGTGAAAATCAATGGCAGGTTCCTGGTAGAGCTCTTGCTTCACTTCTAAACTTAGGGAATGGAAGGCTTGGTCCTGAACCAGCACCCACCCTCTGCAGTGTCTTGCATGGGTTTTAGAGTGTAATCTGCACTCTGCCTCACAGCCCAGGTGCTGGAGAAATTCCCTGAATCCCAGTGAGACCTGAAACAAATGCCTGGTTAAGCCCCATGGTGTTGCAATACAAGTGTTTTAATTAGCTGTATTGTAGAAAGCTTTGGTTTATAGCCAGATGATTCTGCCAGGCCTTGATGCCATCTCTGAAAGCAAACAGCCAGTCCTGTTTCTCACGTCCAGTCACTCTCCCCCACATTCCTCACATAAGTGATAGGACATGGGCAGATACTCTCAGACAGAAATATGTGTTTGCCTCTCTCAATTTTAAGTGTAGCAAAACTGCACAGCAGAACAATGTTGGCACCTTCCTGTTTCTATAAAAAGGCAAATGCTTGTGTCTTTTTCCTGCAGCCAATTCTAGAGCTGAGCTAAAGGAGAAATCTCTACATGCCTACTAAAGTACTAAGTTACAGAGGCCATAAAACAGTAAAATTAACCTTATTTTGTTGAAAAATCAAAATAAAAGGATGGAAGAAGGGCTAATGCTGAACAGTCATAGTATCCCCAGAGCACACAATAAAAACTTGGTGTTTCACACAATCAGGGGTAACATTGCCATCCAAAAAAACTGGGAAGCCCTGGGACCACAGTCATTAATAATGGACAGGGTGCTATTAAACTATCTTGTGCAGCAAATTTGATCCAGATTGAGTATGTTCTGACTAATGTAATTGCACATACACACAGCATGGATTTAATACTGACTGTATCATTTTATATTGGCTCTTGTGCAGAGGAAGAGAGGACACTCAGTCCAACATAAAGCTTCCCAGAGAAGTTAGTGTGTTGTTTAAAGAATCTGAATGAGTAAATTTCTCCAGAAGAGATGCAGCAGTAGCAGTGGAACAGCCAAGATCATGAAACCATAGAGTATGTGAAGTGAAAGCTTTCCAGCTGCTCCAAGTTGCCCCACACTCTTAATACAGATTTGCAAAGTCACTGCTTTGTAAGGACCTGTGATCACTCTGCACAGGAAGAGAGGGCAATAACCTTTTCCAGATGGAGCTCTGGAAGTGCCTTTAATTGGCAGTTTTACAGTTTTCTGGTTTTATAGAAAACCAGTTCAGAGTAATTTAAAGCTTTAGGCTGCGGGGCTGCATTTTGGAGGCACTTACTGACTTGATTGCTCTGAAGTAAACTATGTGTTTGGAGAAGGAGATGTTTGGGAAAATACTAAACTATGTTTGCAAACAGTGAAATACTTGAGTCCTTGTTTTGCTCTCATAGTCCAAACAGTGGCTTTGAGGTTTGGGGAGAAGTCAGTTTTGGAGGAGCAGAGTTCAGAGCTGAAAGGTTTTTGTGTCTTGTCAAGGTGGGCCCACAACTGCAGGTACAAAAGAGAAACTTGAAAACCACGTGTTGGTGGTTGTTATTACTGGTAAGGAGACTGCTTGCATGAAACAAAAGCAAGCTTGGTACCTGCAAATGGGTAATAATCTTAAAACTGGGTGAAAACACAGAATCAGGGAATGGTTTGGGTTGGAAGGGATCTTAAAGGTTCTCTGGTTTCAACCCCCTGCCATGGGCAGGGACCCTTCCACTAGCCCAGGTTGCTCCAAGCCCTGTCCAAACTGGCCCTGGACACTTCCAGGGATGGGGAAACCACAGCTTCTCTGGGCAACCTGTTCCAGGGCCTCCCCACTCTCACAGGGAAGAATTTGTTTCTAATATCCAATCTAAATCTCCTGTAATTCAACTTAAAACCATTCCTGCTTGTCCCCACTCTCTGCCTGTGTACAAAGTCTCTCTCCCTCTTTTTTATAAGCTCCCTTTAGGTACTAAAAGGCTGCAATGAGGTCTCCCCAGCCTCTTCTCCTGCCTTAACTGCCCCAGCTCTCTCAGCCTGGGATGCCATCCCAGAGCATGGCATATGCTCTGTATATCCTTTCTGGCATCCCTCCATGGTCTTCCCACATGGGGGCTCCTGAACCAGCAGAAATGTGGTCCCGAGGCTGGGGTGTGCCTCAACTTGTGCAGCTTGATTTCAGGATCCACCTCTGGAAAAGCACTTCCGTGTTCAAAGCCGTGTCCAACTGTGACCTTAAATGCTGGCTGGAAATGCACTTTGTCCTTGTAGTCCTGGTGCTTTGCATGGAAATTCCTTTGAGTTTTGCAGCTGGAACAGAAAAGTGGGGCGTGTGATAAAATGCTAAGTGTTACAACACACCAAGCCTCCTCCTTGCAGAGGAGTTTCATCTGGCACCGAGGGTTCTCTGCAGCTGCTTGGCAGCGTTCGCCTCCGGGACTGAAAGTGCTGGGTTTGGTTAAGGCAGAACTGGTCCCGCTGTTCCTGAACCCCCCTGGCTGGAATGGCAGTGGGAGGGATGCTTGGCACACGCACAGGCTCGCTGTGGGGGTTGTGCTCGGCTTTACAGCTGCAATAACTGCCCTCCCTGAGCTGTTACCCTGCGTGTCACTCGAGTTACAGAGTTAAAAACACGGGCTGAGAGGACACGACTTTTGTTCAGTTCTGTGTGCTTATTGCGTGAATCCAGTGGAAGGGAGGGTGTAGTTATCCCTCACACGCCTGTCTGGACAGTAAGTCAGCGTTGTTTGTTGTGGATCTTCTGTGTAGCAGCTGGGAAAGAGGAAAGTTAAGAAAGGAAAATGTGAGCACGAAGAAAAGCTGTTAAATAACTGAAGTGACACTTGAATCTCATCTTAATGCTCTGGTGAGGAACCTGGATTTCAAGTGAATGTCTCTTTAATTTATGGCTGCTCATAAGGCCAGGAGCTGGTATTTGCTGCTGTGTTGAATGTGATTTAGTCGTGCTCTGGCTGATGGGGGAAGCATCTCTGAGTATAAACTGTAAGTAAAAATGAAATTATTCCATGATCAGGCTCAGGAGGGAACTCTGCACTGACTCCACTTCACTTTTCCACTGAAAACCTTTTCCCAATCAAAATAGGAAACTCACTCTGGAAAAACAGAGGGTCAGAGAAAGACTTTAAGGCTCAGAGGTTGAAAGCTGAGAGATGTGGGATCTCCTGTACTTCTGCTGATATCACAAGTGCTGAAGGAACCTTGGGGGCAGCTGTGGAGTTGCTGTTTTGCCTGGAGACAAGAAGTGCTGGGGAGCTCAGCTCAGCTCAGAGGCTGGAAAAGATTAAAAGCAAAACTGTAATTGTGTATAGTGAGGGAATAAACAAAAAATATAGGAATGGCTGATCTGTAGAACTCTTCAGGGTTGTTTTTTCCCTCTTCCTCTCTCTTCTGTCCCTGTCTTGCAGTGGTCCCTTTCTCTCTGCCAAGTAGTCAGAGTGTCTCTGAGCTGGGGTATGGTATTTTTAGGTCTGTGTTTCTTAGCCCTCACTGCACCGTGCTCAGCTCCTTCTGTGTCACATGGCAGTGCAGGGAGCCCTGGACAGAGTGGCTGCCAAGCCCTGCACGGTGTTTCCTCAGTGCTGTGCTTTAGGAGTGCCAGCTGAACCAGGGTAAAGCTGCTGGGTGTGGAGCAGGGGAAGCTGTGCTGCTGTGCACCGTGACTTGGAGGAAAGAGGAGGGAGCGTGGATCTTATTCTGGGAGCTTCAGTGATCAACTGAGGGTCAAAAACTGGGAGCTGCTTCAAAAATAAGTCTTGGAATGGAATCCTGTGCTTCTGTCTGCCTCAGGCCACGTGTTGGTAGGTGAACACCCCAGGAGAGGAGGGCTCAGCTGTGGTCCTACCTGCTCAGTGCTCAAACCACCAGGCTGTTGCATAGAAACTGCACCGACACTCTTGACTGTGGACTTTGCAAGAAGAAAGAGATGCTCTTGTTGGGCTTAAAAAGGGCAGTTTGGGGTTCCTATGAAAATAAGTTCCTGCTGGTTTTCCAAACGGTGATGGGACTTCAGTTCAGCTCCAGAGCTCAGTGTCTCGTGGGTGGATGGGAAGCAGCCAGGCTGGGCAGCCCCAGGAGCCTGAGTTCCTGAGACAAACACTCCTCTGTGTGCTCTGGATGGCACAGGGAGCCTGGAGAGGGGCAGGAGAAGCCTCCTCCTTGTGAGGGTTCCCCTCGGTGAGTACTGCCCAGTGCAGGCCAGGGGGAGCAGACAGCAGCCTGATTTCATGGGCTGTGCTCCATCACCACGTTCTGTGCAGTGCCAGGACTCTGGCTGTTGTGTAACGGGGTGTTAATCCTGGAAGCACTCACGTTCCAGTCCGGCAGATAGCGAGAGAGAAAGGGCAGGGGAATGAGGTCATTAAAGACCTACCTCAGTGAATTAGGCAGTGACAGCTGGAAACCTTGTCACTAAGGGGCTATTTTAAAAACAAATAGGCTCATTTTAGACTGTTAGTTAGCTTGTGGGGAATTTTTAATAAGCAAGAATGCCAGTTATCATGAAATAATTTCTATCCCACCCAAACAGTCAAACTATATTTTGTGGATCCTGAGCTATCTCTGTATAATTAGCAAGTTGTTCTGTACTTGAATTTGAAAAACTGGTTTGTGAGGGGAAGTAAATCTATTTGCCTTGTCTTGGGAGGCCACCTGCCAAGTGAGATGCCATGTGACTTTTTTTTTTGCGGGGGAGATATTTAAAAAGTAAATAATAGAATCATGGAATGGCCTGGGTTTGTAGGGATCTTAAAGACCATCCACTTTCAATCCCTTCCATAGGCAGGGACACTTTCCACTCAAAGCCCCACCCAGCCTGGCCTTGAACACTTCCAGGGATTGGGCAGTCATAGCTCCTCTGGATAATCTGTGCCAGAACCTTATCACCCTTACATGGAATAATTTCTTCCTAATATCTTATCTAAACCTACTGTCTTTCAGTTTGAAGCCATTCCCCCTTGTCCTGTCACTCCATGTTCTTGTGGAATAGCCCTTAAGAAAAAGGGAATTTTCTAAAAATGCCATAACATCAGTGTAGTTTTAAGTGTAGTTTTGTTTTGTTGAAGCTGGATTACACAGTCACTAAGGGACTTCATGGTCCACTTCTGGAAGGGAGAGCCATGGCCTGGCTGAAGGAATAGGATTTTTTTCCATTGATTCCAGCAGCATCAAGATTTGACTCAAAGTCATGACAGTCCTGACATATGCAAAATTTATAGCTGGAGTTTTGCCAGCTATAAGGCAAAGGACGGAGGATGATCTGGCATTTGAAGATTTGGCTGGTTGAATATCAAGAATAAAGTGTTTTATTTTTTTCTGTCCCTTTGCTGTGTAAGATTCTGCTGGCAGAAATCTGGCAGTGCTTACACTTGTGGGCAGATGGGTACAAGAATGGCAGAGAGGTAGAAGAGCACTCCTGAATACTCTCCTCATTCCCATTAGTGAAGGTATTAGAGCAACATTTCTCATCACTGAACTACCCTTTGATTTACTGGGAGGGGAGAGGGGACGTGTGAGTGGAGGGGGAGAAAAAGAGAGGAAAAGAGGGTGTTGAAACCATCCCTAGACTACTCAGGCCACAGTAACCTTCACTCAGAAGAACAAAGACATGATAAAATTGATATTTCCAAGTGTTGTTCATCACTCTTCTGTATTCCTCCTGTTGTCCTCACTTTCACACCTGCAAAGCCCTGGTTTAATTTTCTGCAAACGTGTGGAATCTCATCCAATTCATGCTGCAAGTGGCTTAAGCAGCACCAGCTGAGCACGCTGCAGCTGAACACAGAGTGGGCTGCCAGGATGATGTGCTGCCATGCTCCAGAGCAGCTGTGGTGGTTAGTTCTTATGGTCTGACATAGGACAACTTGCATTTGTCTTTGTTGCTGTAGGCAACTCAAGGCAGGGGAGGTAAATCTCTGACCTGTGCCCAGAAGGAAGAGAAGAGGAACTGACACACAGGAGCTTCCAAACACAGTAAGTTCAGATGCTCTCCCCACTCCCTTCTTTGAAGGAGAGATAATATCCCTCATGTCTTCCTAACTTCAAACTATCCTGAATGGTTTCTCTAGTTTATTTCTCAATTGTAAAATGTTTTAAAGCAATTTATTTGAGCTCTGTGGCTGTAAATATAAACTTGCTAGTTTAGATAATCAGAACTCAGGGAATTAAGTCCTGAGAGCATATTTTTTTCATTTTCTTGTTTTAGTGTTGCTGTGCTTTTAAAATATTTTAAACTCTCACCAATTATTTGCAAATATTTGCTACTTCTGGGAATTCAGTTCCCTGAAATGTAACATAAAGTTCAAAGACAGGCGCACCAGCCAAAATATTGTCACTTAAATTGAGATGGGGAACCATGGAAATCTGGTTTTGGTTTTTTTTAGGCGTAAGAGTTGGAACAGATAGTTAGAGCTTTAGTGGCCAGCAGAAGAATATAGGACAGAAGGATAGTCCAGCCCTTCACACATGGTGCAGACTGAGAGCCAAGCCCCACCCTGTTACCTTACAAATCAATTAGACAAAGAAAAATGCTGGGTTTGTGCCTGGTCTGGGCTGTTTCCTGACAAGAATTCTGTTCAGACAAAAATATGTTCCTTATTTATAGGATCTTTTGGGGTTTATAGTTTTCTAGTCCACTACTTTAACATAATCTAATTTATAATCTGGGTTATTTTGTTTGAAATAAATCGGTAATCTCATTTAGAACAAGTTATATGTGTTAATGAGTGGTATCATCCAGGGGCTTTCCAGAGCCTTTGTAATTTGCACAAGCCAATATTCATCTTATCTAGACAGGGAGCTATGCCTTCATCAGTGCAACTCTTCAGAGATCAGAAGTACCACGAGCTGAAAGAGCAGTGTATCCAGCAGAGACGGCTCTTCGAAGATCCTGAGTTTCCAGCCTCAGATGGATCCCTCTTCTATCAGTCAGCACCACCAAGGAAAGTTGAATGGAAGCGCCCAAAGGTAACTGATGAATGTTTTTTCACTCCTTGTGTCTCCTCCAGTAGAGACACCTCCACCAAGAGGAATCTGAGCAAACCTTTGTTCTTTTGTGGACTTGACACCCTCTTCCTTGGCTGTGTTTCAGTTTGGCTCTGGTGAAACCTTAGCAGCAGATTTTACCCAGAGAGAGTGGAGAGTTTTCCTTTATTGATTGATATCATCTCTGATCTCTGCATGGCTATGCTGAAGTTACTGTGCATTTTGCCTTTGACTTGTGTAAAACCTCAGTTATACACCAGGGGTTTTGTATTCCAGATGAACAGCTATTGTCTGTAAGCAAACAAAAATACTTGTGTCTATTTGCCACTTCTACTGGCATCTTAACAGGGAAGTGCTACCACTGCTTCTGTGCCATTCCAGGTCAGCATATTCCCACTCTTCTGCTTCCTCCACACCAGTGCAGAGGGACAGCAGTCTCTGCCTGTTGTGGGGGGCATCACGAAGGGGCTGATCAGAACTGTCCAGAAGGACTCAGGCTGTGAGCAAGGATTTGAAAATAGCTGATTTTGCAGGCTTTTAGAACCTCATGCAGAGCTGAGGGACTCTCCTTTTTGGAATCAGCCCCATATCACTTAGATCAAAAGCAGTAACACAAGGCACAACCCCCCTGAAATTTTCTATGGGGAAAAACCTTCTTGTTTGTGAGAGGAAAAAAAAAATAAGGAAGATATCCCCACCCATTAGTGGACAATTTTCCTGCCCATTGATATTAGTGTCAAAACAAATCCTGCTCTTTTCCTGTGATTTCCCTGGAGTTTCTCTCCCTCTGCTGGACTGAAGTGGGGCTGAGGGGCAGCTGTGTCCTGCGAAGAGGCAGGAGAAGCCTCTTGCCCCCCTGCTATCTCAGCTGGCCCTGGGATGTCCTCAGCCACCTGTCCTGCCTAACCCCTTTCTGAGGCAAACACTGCCTCTGTGTGGTGGTCCTGCTCAGCATGGGGTGAAAATACTCGGGAATGACAGTCACTCTGCTGAGTGGATATTTTGTCTGTCCTATTTTTCACTAAACCCCGGGTTTGCCTCATTTTTTTTCACTGACCTCGCGAAAGGTATGAAATCCCAAGGACATCTTGGTCAGTGTTAAACAAACAGCAGTGATCCTCAACCAGGGCTGGCAGGCATGTGGGGAAAGAGTGGATAAGCTTGCTTCAGAGATAAACAGTGTTCTTTAGTTACTCATAAAGGACAATAACAGTCTGATCCTACAGAATGAGTCTTATGTGCTTTCCTGGTTCTCTTACTTGACCCTCTGTTTTATAAGCCCCGGTTTTGCTTTCATCTGCATCTTCTCTTTATGAAAGGGCTGTGATTGCACCCTTATTTTCCTGAAAGACAGAGCTGGTTTGTGTTCAGTAAGACAGCACAGAAAGACACCGTGTGACAGGACTGCTGAACTGCTTCCCAAGAAACCCCTCTTGTGTCCAGGCCACAGAAGGGACACTGCTGCCTTTGATTAACTCACTGGTGCCAAAGGTCAGATCCGTGGCTGGAGGTGGAGAACCTGCCCCGTGTTCCTAGAAACACTGTGTGCCATTGGTCCCATTCTCCACTTTCTCACCAATTTTTTTGCAGTGCTTTCAGGTGTGATTATCACCATGCAAGTGAGAAGTCCAGGAAATAAGATACTGTGTGCTGCAATGATACAGCATGTAGGAATAAACAGAGCAAGCGTCTCCCCCACTTCCCAAACTGGGAAGTGTGGGATGAGCAGGTTGGTGATGTATCCACGGCACCGCGAGGGACTGGGGTGCCAGAGAACACAGGAGTTCTGACCTCTGCACCTTTATGGGAGGCAGCACCAGCTCTTCTTTGCTTCTAACTGGTGGAAAACAATACATTCTCTCAGAAGCCGAAACATCCTCATATTTACAAATGCTGATTTGAAACTTCCTCTGCCTCTCTAGCTGTCTAAGAAGATTTTACCTTCCTTTGGAAGGTGGAGGGGGCTTGGGGCATGTCTGTCTGCCTGGGCACTTAATCTGGGTTACCTTTCCAGATTTTGCATTAATGTTCTTTATTCCACAGGATTTGTGGTCACGAAGCCCTCCAGAATATTTAACAGTATCCCAGTCCTCATAAATTTTGTGGAATGAGCATCATGAAAAGCTTGGCTGTCAGGTGCAAGAACACCTGTGTTAAATGCCCCTCAGAGATAATGCTCTTCATCATTTCATTCCTCTGTCTGTTCTGTAGCTGCATTGCTGCAGTCTAACCCTGTTTTCTGGTTTGACTGTGAGCAAGACCAGAGACATCTGCTTATGTCTGGGACTCGTGTCAGAGTCCAGTGGTGCCTGCAGGGCAGGGAGGTGTCCTGGCACCACATCAGGGGTTGAGCAGTTGTACGACCATGCACTGCAAGAACAGTTTTGGGGCATGGAGCAGAATGACAGCTCATCACACCCTGGGATATCTGCCAGGATGGGGCCTGGGGAGAACCCAGAGCTGCAGGAGAGTGGACATTAAAGGGGAATGCCATGAGCTGGCATGGCAGAGTGATGTGGACTCCCAGCAGTGCAGTCTAGTGACATTGCTGCCTTCTGTGTGACAAAGTGTAACAGCCCCTGTGTATAGTGACACTTACCTGGCTTGCCAGATCCCCTCTCCATGCCCCCAGCTCCCTTCTGAAGTGTGGCTCTCGATTTAATGATCTCTTTTTCAGATCTGAACATGTTTTTTTAATCCCTTCAGCCACTTCTTTCCAGTCAAAAATATGAGGTGACAGCAAATGCTCTTGCTTAATCAATATAAGGGTCCCTCCCCACCTCTCCTCCTCGCTCCCCAAGCTTTGTAGAATCTAATTATTGTTCTTCTTGAAAATATTACTTGTTCTGCAAAAGTTCCTGTCATGTGCTGAAACAACTGAAGTTTTGGCTTCTGTTCCCTTGTCTATGCCCAGAATTGCTCACATTTCTCTGGTGTTGGTTGTTATTGACTCTTTTTCAATTGTAGATGAGCACAAGTTGCAAAGCTCTGTGTGCTGTGACATTTGTGTTTGCACTGGAAATGCTGGTGTATGTGGAACATGCCTGAATCTGACAGGTGAGGAAACGTGTTTCAAAGAGTGGTGATGAGCCTCTGCTGAGCTTTGAGGGAGCTCACACATCCTTTTATGTTCCTCAGGCATTGACGGGAATGCGAAGGCAGTTTCAGGTCGCAGGTTGTGTGATCCAGGCACCAGCATCCTGCAGCTTGCTTGTTCATTGTGCTTCTCTGGGATCTTTTGTAGGAGAAAAGGGCTGTGAAAGGGCTTTGCACTAAGATGAAATAAATCCTAACTGGCTTCTTTTGCTTATGTGTCTGTCACATCCTAGACCTTAACACCATGGATGTTGCCCTCCACACACAGGCCAAGTAACCGTGACCTTCAGTGGTGACTTTCAGACATGCACTCCCTGACTGCTTTCTATAGGGCTACTTGAGGATTGTAGGACTTCCTAGATTACACTGGTGATCATTTTAACAGGCACTTTTGTAAGCTGTAATTAGCTGTGATTACACACGAGTGCAGCGGCAGAGAGGCTGTTTGTCATTGTTACAAATAGTTTTATGTGCCATTAAAAGCATATTTAGCTTGTGATCTTCAGCTACAGCTCATTATCTGTGGAAAAGTTTTAAGTCAGCTGTTTCTTTGCTAAACGTATCTGTGTGTATACAGTTGCAGGGCACCTTAATTTTTATAGAAGACCTTAAGCCTTGCAGACTCAGAAGTGGTATGAAAGGTCATAGGCAAAGTAGGCTCTGACCTAAGTTTAAACCCTTCACCTTAAAGAATTAGGAAAGGTATTAAGAGCTGAACTCTGGGAAGGAGTGTGCCCTGGAAGGTAATCAGAGAGAGTGAAGGCAAGGTTTCTGTACACAATAATCCTCTTTTCCAGCTTTAAGCTGTCGAGGCAGAGACCGTGTAATCCTCCAGATGTGATGTAAACTTCTGTTTGTGCGCTGTAAGTAGATGAGCGGGGAACAACAGGTAGATGGTAAACTGTCAGAACAAAATTCCTAAATGATGGCAAAGGATTTTTTCTTTCCTCGTTAATTATGTACACCATGAACTGTGTGCCCTGAACCTCCTACGAATGGAGTCTGGCACTGCTTCATGTTTGAGCTGAGTTGTTCCAGCATCCTCGTTGCTTGATCCCGCTGAGCTGAGCTGCAGCCATCTGTCCCTCCCGTGCAGGTGTCGATCTGCAGAGGAGGAGTAGCTGCTTGCCAAGGGCTGGCTGCCATAACCCTGCAAGTGGAACCAAGGACAGGCTGCTCCTGGGGAGGAAGGTGTTAAATCCACCCCAGCTGCGGGAGCTGGGGTGTTGGCACAGCTCGCACGCATGTGGCAGCACAAAAACATGCTCTTCACACCCGTTGCCTTGGCAACTGCACATTCAGATGGCAGGATTGGCAGCGGGATCCTGCAGAAGATGATGCAGTTGCAATTAAGTCGAATTGTTTTCATGTTGATGGAATTAATTTTGAGCTAGGAAGGAAGGGGAGGGGTGATGGGTGCACACAAGTGATATTACAGTTGAGCTGCCACCCGTTTGAGATCCTGGTGTAGGCAAGTCTCCATCATGCTGTGCATTTCTTTAAAGGTAAAATCAGTGCTGGCTCTTGGCTTCTGAACTTTGTTTAGGGTTTTTTTTTGAGAGACTAAAAATCTGCCTCAAGAGCTTTATTTGTTTAGTGAGACTAGATCCATGGGGTAATCTGTACATCCCAGCTGCCACTGTTCTTGTATCCTGATGATCCCCAGACTGGAAGTTTAGGTTTTACAATGGCCCTGGGGAATTGGGCTGCTGGTAGGAGGTGGCATGAAGTGGAGGGCAAAGTCTTTCAAATCCAAGTCAAAACAAGTCTTGGCCTTACTGTATGGCTGTAATTCTGGATCAGATGGATTAGCAATCTGCTTTTTTTTGTTGCCTTATTTGGTGGAATCAGTTAATTTGGACCATTTCCACCAGCAGTTGGAAATT